GCGAGCTGGCGCCTTAAAGGGGACGCGTCCCTCTTGTCGAGCCCGCGGAAGACGAACCTCAGCCGGAGGGGTTTGAGTGAGGCTTTACCACTGAGCAGGGTCTTCTCTGGAAAGTCCGTGTTGGGAAGGACGCCAGGGACCCTGATAACTCTTCTTCCCCCATTTCATGGATGAGGAAAATTAAAGAATCACTGTCGGGGGCAAAGACAGGTCTCTCCACTCCTCTGGAGGACCTTGCCCCCTTTACCTCCCAAATCCTGTTCCGAAGCTTACATCCTACTAGACCCCCAGAAGTTATGAGCCAGCTATGAATTTGGAATCAAAAGGTCTGGTCACGAGTCCTTGAGCAAGCTGTTTGCTGCATTCTCTGACCTACGCATGTTTGCTAAGCTTTCCTGGTTGTGAGGTGGTACTAGGTTCAAGTATTAACTTCTTTGTGCGAGTTATTTAACAGCTCAAAACCTCTATTTTACATAAGGCTTAAGGTTGTTGTGAGTGTTAAAAGAGATGATACGCATGATCTCATATGTGGCATGTAATTAACAAAATAAACTGATGAACGGCGCGGATCCAGAGACATGGAACATGGGACAGATTGTTGAGGGAGGGGAGGAGAATTGCTTCCCATCTCGCCTCTTCCTGTGCATCACACCTCTGCCCTCCATCCCCTTTGTCTTGAAGGGATGACAGGAGTTTTACAAGTTCTTGATTCAAGAACAAGGGAGGCAGCCCAGGAGTAAGCAATAGAACTGAATTGGGGGAGCGGGGGAGGTCAGACAAGCTGGATTCTAGACTTGGCTGTAGCAGCTCTCTTAAGCCTTGATTTCTCTTTTTTTTTCTTTTATATTTTTATTGATTTCAGTGAGGAAGGGAGAGTGAAAGAGATAGAAACATCAATGATGAGAGAGAATCATTGATTGGCTGCCTCCTGCTCGCCCCCTACTGGGGATCAAGCCCGCAACCCGGCATGTGCCCTTGACCATGTGCCCTTGACCGAAATCAAACATGGTACCTTTTGGTCTGCAGGTCGACTCTCTATCCACTGAGCCAAACCAGCCAGGGCCAGCCTTAATTTCTTAATCTATAAAATAGAGATGATTTTTCCCACTGTGCCCACCTCTCAGTGCTGTTTCCAGGATCAAATGAGGAGACTTAGGACCCATGTTCGTGTCTGTTGTTATGACCAAGGACTTACACATTAGCAGATGATTCTGAATGTAATGGGGGCTGGTCAGGCCTGGACTGTTGACCTATGTGACCTCTTCTTAGTGGGGCCATTTATATATTTTTATTATGTATCCAACACTCATTGAACATTTACGCAAGCCCTGTCCCTGCTTTCATAAGCTCTTAGTTCACCTTCTGCAGACAGAATTGTAAACAGACAGGACAGGACAGTGTGATAGGTGTTACCCTGAGTTACAAAGAAAGCACTGAAAATCTACAAAGGACCCTCCCTGGAGAACTGGAAGGCTTCACAGAGAAGGGGATATTTGAACCTGGTCTCCAGGATGAGGAGGAGTTCGTCACAGGGAAAAGTGAGGAAGAGCAAAAAAGTACACGAGCCGAGACAAAGAAGTAGGAAATGGTGGGAGTCGGGACTGAAGAGGGAGGCTGGAACCAGATGGTTGGCATAAGGAGTCAGGAGCTATCCTGGAGAGGGCGGAGGCCCAAGGGAGGTTTAAGTCCTCTCCAGCTGCACTGCTAACACCCAGCCGCAGCCCACAGGACTTGCCTGGACCGCTGCAGCAATTTCCCAGTACTTAGCGACCCTATCCACCCTATCCCCAATTGCTATTCACCCTAGGCACCTAGAGTAATCTCTTAAAGAAGTACAGTTAAATGTGACGTTCTGTTAAAAAACCTTTTAATAACCTCCTATGCATTTGGAATAAAACGCAGACTCCCCTCAAGGGCCCCATGCATGATCTTCCTGCTGCTTCTTCTGTATCCCTCATTCACTGCCTTCCCTGACTCCCAACTGATAGTAGGGTTCCCAGCCACATTCTTCTCTATCGTCGCTGCCCCTTGTTCGATCAGGGCACCTGTTATGTCCATTTGGTGGACTATTTCCGGGCGAAGACCACATCTGAGAACTCTCCTCCCCAAGCCCTAGTTACTGACTCAATCCCTCTGCTTACCTTCATAGCAATTCCCATAATTGGAAATTCCCTAGATGATTTACTTATCTAATTTGTGTCTTTTCTTTACATCACATAGCATTTGGAGCAGAGTGTAGTGTGCAGCTAATATTGATTGATCCGATGAATGATCAGAAAAAATTATAAGATAAGGAGTAGTTAGGAGAAAGACCAGAAAAAGAAAGCTGTGGGGCAACTGCTGTGATCATCCAGGCCAAAGAGAAGAAGTGCCTCATGCAAGGCAGAGCCAGAGGGGAACACATCAGCCTTGATATGGAAGCAACAGGTGTTAGTGACAATGGAATGTAACAGGTGAGAAAGAGAAAGGGACAAGAATGACCCCCCAGTGAAGGAACAAAGCAGGAATAGTTGGTTGGGGATTGAGGGGAAAAAGAAATGAGTCCATTTAGACTTGTCTGAGGGGTTTGAGGGACATCCAAATGAAGGTGTTCAGAGGAAGTTGGATTGACTTGTCCCCAGCAAGAGGCCAGTGCTGGGATTTGAGATGGAACCACAGAGGACAAGAGTGGATGAGGTCACCCGGCTGGCAAGGCTCAGTGGTTGAACGGCGACCTATGAACCAGGAGGTCACGGGTCAATTCCCATCATTGATGTTTCTCTCTCTCTCTCCCCCTCTCCTTTCCTCTCTGAAATCAATAAAAATATGTATATATTTTTTAAAAGTGGATGAGGTCACTCTTGGGCTCTACATTATCCATCTGTGAAGAAGTGTGGCCTATGGGTCCAAGACAAGTGTGCAGAGGGAGGGGGCTAGAGGCCCAAACCTGGAGAATATTAAGCCTTAAGGAACCTGCAGGGACCAACCAGAAGTGGTCAGAAAGGTTAGGTCCCTGAACAGAGGGGAGAGAGGTAACTAACAGAGAAGTCAGGGAGCTTTCAGAAGGAGGGGATGGTGCCAACAATGCCAAATATTGCAAGGATCTGGCAAGGAATAACAAGCCACTGGATTTGGCAACTAAGAGGTCATCCCTGATCCTTCCAGGGTGATCATCTGGGGGTGGGGGAGGAGACCAGACTGTGGTGGATCAAATAGGGAAGAGAAGTGGCAGAAACAGTGAGTCGGTACAATTCTTTAAAAATTTTTTGATAGAAAGAAGGAACTAGATGGACACATATGTAATACCCTTTGTAATACTTTAAGCAATAAAAAAAAAAGAAAGAAGGAACTAGGACAAAGCAATAAGATGATTATTTTGAGAGAAAAATCATGTGAAGATTTTCCTTTTGAATTTTTTTCTCTTAATTGTTTTTCCTGTTAATTACATGTTCACTGTAGAAAATTATAAAGTTCATAAAAAGATGGAGAAGCAGAGGGAAAAAAAAACACTTTTTAAAAATATATATACTGTATTGATTATTCACAGAGAGGAAGGGAGAGGGATAGAGAGCTAGAAACATTGATGAGAGAGAAACACCAATCAGCTTCCTCCTGCACACTCCCCAATGGGTATGTGCCCACGACCAAGGCACATGCCCTTGACCGGAATCGAACCTGGGACCTTTGAGTCCGCAGGCCGACGCTCTATTCACTGAGCCAAACCGGCTAGGGCAGGGAAAAAAATACTTTTATTTAACATCTGTTATATTCCCTTTCCATCTTTTTTCTCTGCATTTTTTTCCCATTTACCTGGATGAATTATTTTGAAAGTACAATTCCATGTTATACTTCTTTTCCCTACTAAACACTGTGTCCTAAACATTGAAGAGGTTTTTTTTTTTACTTTTTCTACTTTCTTTCTCTTTTTTTAAAAAAATATGAGAGTCAGCCCTGGCTGGTGTTTCTCAGTGGTTAGAGTGTCAGCCTGCACACAGAAGGGTCCTGGGTTCAATTCCTGGTTAAGTAAGTGTTAGGTCAGAGAGAGCCCAGGATCAGATGCATGCAGACGTGTGATGAGATAATGGACCCTTCCCGGCATTTCTAACAGATCAGCGTGCCAGACACAGATACCAGCTTCTCCCTGAATTCACAACGACCCCCACACAGATATTGACTCCTTCCTGAATACCCAGCCCACTTGCCTGTGGCGGAAACTTGTCAGCTGAATACCTCAGCTCATGTCCCTGTCCCTCACCCAAACGCAGTATAAAAAAAGCGCCCCCCTCCCTGTCTTTGGGGTTCGTGGGTCTCCCAGGGACACAGAATAAAACCTTTCCTTTCTTCCTTTTCTGATCGACTCTCTTTATTTCCTACGCTGCCTCTTGAGCCACCTAACCTAACAGTAAGGGCATGGTACCTTGGTTGCAGGTTCGCTCCCCATCCCCGGTCAGGGCACATGCAGGAGGCAACCAGTCAATGTGTCTCTCTCACATTAATGTTTCTCCCTCCTTCCATTTCTCTCCTCCCTTCTTTTCTTCC